CAGGTAGGCTAGGTTTCGGGGTGGCGGAGTCCCCGTGGGGTATCCGCACAGCCCGGGGAGTGTCCGCGTGGGGCTGTCTGCCGGCCCGAGGAGGGCGTCCCCACGGGGGTGTCCCCGCGAACGGGCTTGGGGTGCCCCTGCTCAAGTGGATGTCTCGAGTAGGTATCAGACTCGCTTCTAGTCGGGTAGCTCCATTCTCAGGGCAACTGACTGAGGCTGGGGGGATTCTTGCCCTAGGTTCTCCCGTGCTGGCTGCGCCTGCAGTCTTCGGGAGTTTGTGTCCCCCAACCCTAGCGTGGGCTGTAGTCCAGACGGGGATGATGTCCCAGCTCCTGAGGTCTCCAGGCTCCTCCTCCCTAAACCCCTCTTGCACATGCAGGGAGTGAATGAGTCCATGGGAGGGAATCAAGGGGGCCTAAGCACCCAGTGCGTGTGAGCACCCGGGGAAGGCGAGGATGCACCTTTGTCTCTGAGTTACAAAGGGAGATTGACCAAATCAGGATAATCATGAATGACATCAAGAGACCTGAACAGCGGAGGCCAGGCAGCAGCACTCGGGAAGGTTCATACCATACCCTACTTAATGGGTGCCCCCGGTGTGGCCAGGTCCACGCATGTGCCTGTAGCAGCCAGCTCCGGCTCTGCCCCTGGATGTAAGTGACAGAGCTCAACTGTCCCAGCAAAAAAGTATGTGTGGAGGTGTGAACACGGACAGGTCAGGACTCATAGAGATGGTGGTCATGAAGGCAAACTGGCCCTTGGCCAGCTGTGGGCTTGGGGCGCGAGGGCAGGAGGACAGTGTAGATAAATGGGCAAAGGCTTTGGGAACCCTGGCAGATTGGATGGCCCTGCAAGCCCCAGGAGGCGGTGGGAACAAAGGGCTGCTTTTATAGTAGCTTTGCTGAGCCCTGGGACCCCTAGTCAGGGCACCTTGCCTTTCAGAATCTCATTGCAGTGGGTTGGGGGCATTCACATGTATTAAATGTACCTGGGAAAAAAAACCAAGACCAAATAAATGCATCTGTGCCGGTGGAGTCATCGCCCCACCTGGTGGCAGTAAATCTGAGCCGCAGGTCTGGTTACAAGCTGAGCCCCTCCAACCCCCATATATCTGCCCTAAGGGCAGAGCATTTGTTTCTCACTGGGTAAGGGGCACTGCCACCCGAGGTTTTTGACCCAAAGCCTACAGAGTGCTGACAGCGAGGGGAGCCCTGAGGGCGAGAGCTTTGCCTGGGTCATGAGGAGCTGACAAAGATGTCAGCCCCAAAGTTGACTCCCAAGCCCCATTTTGAGTCTCCTTCACTTTAGCCTCACGGTTTCTTTTGGAGCAGGAAGACACTTGGCCTTTTGAGCCTGGGGGTGGCTGGTGCAGCTCCTAGATAGGAACCAGAGTGTTAACTCTACTGGTATCACTTGTCCCCTGACACCCATTTTCGAGGCAAGAGCTCAGGACAGGGATAACCGCTGCACAGAAGCCTCCTGAGGTGACCGCCTTGGCCGGCCAGCCCACCTGTGGATGCAGTCTGCAGGAAGTCTTCTCAACCCTCACCGCACTCGCCGTGTTCCTGCTGTTTGCTAGCCCTATTCTAGCCACTGGATTTAGAACGGGGCAGAAAATTAAAGGACGGTATGGCCAGAAGGCGAATGCAAGGCAGAGACACATTCTGAAGCCCTGTGGCCAGGGAGGGTGTGGCTGGCTAAAGTGGGCAAGGGCAAAACACCTGCTGCCCAGTCCTGCAGGGTAGCACCTACCCCATCCACCTTCAGGGTCTCCCCCCAACTTCAGCAGACTACCCCCACGCTCCCAAGAGCTGAAAAGTAGATAGACACCCAAACTGCTCCACTATGGGCCTCTTCCAAGGGTTTATCGGCGTGAGGGGGTTTGCTGCTGGGTTTGCCCCTATGGCAGGTGGCCCAAGATAAACCTGCAGTCTGTGACAGCCAGCCCTGCCTTTTGCCTGATGGCAGGCAGAGTGGGCACGTGCAGAGGTGCGGGACAAGACGGTCCAGTGAGAACCCGTCTCTGGTGACAAGAAAGACAGGAATCTGCAATGGAAGGTAGGAGCTTTTGCTGAGGCAGAGCTTTGAGGGCCTAGCCTACTACCAGACAGCAGGAAAGGAAAGAGATGGGCCTTTACCAGTAGGCTTGTGCTTCCAGCGGTAACTTCTGTCAGCTGCCGGTCATCCTCATAAAGCCACCTCAGGCCTTTTCACAGCCCTTGAATTGAACGTAGAATTGGGTGTGCTCCGGCTTGGCTGTGACTATCAGGTCCTGCGTATGTGTTCACACATCTCAGGTACCAGCTGCTGGTTAGAACTCGGGGTAGGTCCAACTGCGAGGCAGGCCTGCTGCAAGCCGTGGGCCTTGTTTGGGTTCACGAGCCTTGTCTGAGCAGCCGGTGACGTGGACGGGACGGGGTGCTGCAGCGTACTTTCTGTATCCTTGCTAGCCCAGGAAGACTGAGGTGGCTGCAAAGATCAGTGCATCCTTCTCGCAATAGGTGCTAGGCCCTGATGCTGGTGCAGGAGATGCCCCAACCTTTGGTGGCAGCCCTGCTTTTGTCACAAGACCCCTGGGACTTGCCTGGGAGCAGTGGCCAGGTCCAGGTACCCTGGGAGGGTGCACTTTCGTCAGGCTCATGTCTACAAAGGGGCTGACGGCACTGTTTGTTTATCCCCTAGGCCCTCACCAGTGCCCACCCTTCCCTTTTCCCCCATGACTGATCATTTTCTATTATTTCTGTCATTCTGATGAAGGAGCAGTCTGGTGTTTGGTGTGTGGTGTCCCCAACCACAAGCACTCAACCTCTCTCCTCCCCTCCCCACTTCACCCTTTTGGGGTGGTCTCTTGCTTGCCTTCCAAGCGTGTAGCTTGCAAAGTAAACCTATGATGCCTCTTACGGGCAAGAGGGGCTCTGGCAGCCCACGGTGCTACTGTGGGTAAGCAAGGGACGATGTGAGCTTCCTCCAAGGCCACACCTCAGGCAAAGCCCAAGCAGCTCTGTCTGTGCCTAGCGTCTCTTCCTTCCCAGATCTCACTGTGTAGCCTGCACCCTGACACACATGGCTTTCACGTGGCAGGGACTACACAGTTCTTATTCACTGTAACAAAGGGTCACCTTTACAACTGAAAGGAACACACACTGAAGGAAAATGTTTTCAGTTCTGTGTCTGGCTCGGAGCTCTTTAGTTTCGAGTTCTGAGATGTCCTGCTGGGTGTGGGGGAGGAGTGTGGAGGAGGTGACCACTTGTATAGCAGCCAACCTTGGTACATGTTGCCTGGATTTTGGATTTGTGCGGATCTGTGTGGAGTTACTTTCTGCTGGGGTCTCCCATCGTGAGAAAATAGATCCTGTGCCAGCTTTAACCATACAAATCTCTTGCCCTTTGGAGGTGGTAGAGGACCTGCTGGGTCTGGCTCCTCACTGCTCCTCTCTTCCCTAGCAGGGCAGCAGGACTACGATCTCCTGGTAATTGGTGGGGGATCTGGTGGCCTGGCTTGTGCCAAGGAAGGTATGTATCTTGTGTCCTGTGTCCCCTCTTGGAAGCTTTCAGGTCCTCCTGGGTGGGCAGCTCCCTTTTGCAGCTGGCCTGCTAGGGTTGCCCCAGCAGCCTTGCTCTCCTGGTTTCCACTGTGGCCTGATGAGAAGCCACAGCAGTGCTAAGTCAGAGCACAGTCGTCATTCATCGTGGAAGCCCCCAGGCCTCACAGGATCTGCCCCCAACTTCCAGTCTCAGCTGCTACCACACTTGAGCTCCCCAGCTTCCTTGTTATTCTGCGCACATTTCTGTGAGCCCCTTCTGTCCTTCCCCTCGCCCTGGCTGCCTGCCCTGTCTGGTCTTCCTGCCTGCCAGGTTGGTGGTGGAATTCTCCTGTATCCCTCCAGTCTTTACTGCCAAACTGGCCCTACTTAGAACTGCTCCCTCCTGCTGGCCAATCTTTTGTTGTTGTTGTTGTTACTGGGGATCAAACTGGGGACCTTGCACTTGGCAAGGCAGTGGTGGCAACCACTGAGCTAAATCCCTGGCCCCCTATCCAATCTTTTTCATCAGCTCTCCTGTTCTTGTTAGTGTTTATGCCTTCTGTAGAACTCCACGAAAGGGCTCCCTGTGGTCTACTTAGGCTGTGCCTAAAGATGGTACAAAGGCAGGTGTGGGTGAAGAGGGAGTCAAGGTGGGGCCCAAACGAGAGGGAGTTGACTGAGTGCTTTAATGATGAAATTGTGGTTTTCTAACATCAGGTCCTGGATTTTAGAATCACAGATGGTATTGAGAAATCCACTGTCCACAACTTGCTTGGAGGGACTGGGGGATGTCTCCCGGCTGATTGGCGGGGTCAGCACCCCACTGGGTCCTCAGAGCCATGCGTGGAAATGGACAGCACAAATATGGAGAATGACCACATGTCCCAGTGGTGTCCTTTTGGCACATCTGTGTAGTAGTTCTAAGGACAAACGTTGCCTTTATCTTAGAACCCAGATAGTTCCTAGGTCTGATATGACTCTCATGGGAGTGGCATTGCCACATTGTTGTGGTTTCTCTCTTTTGAGATAAGTCTTTTTTTTTTTTAATTTTTGAGGCAAAGTCTCATTTTGTAGCTCAAGCTGGCCTTGAACTTACTATGTAGCCCAGCCTGCGCTCAGACTCTCAGCAATCCTACTTCACCCTGCTAAGTGCTGGGACTGCAAGTGTGCGCCACTATTTTCTTGTGAGACAAATCTTGCTGTGTTGTCCAGGCTGCCTTTGAACTTTCGGGCTCAAGTAATCATGCTGTCTCAGTCTCCCGAGTATTTGGGACTAGGAACATGTGCCACTGTTCCTGATTGTACTGTATTTTTTAATAACTTTATTGAAATATAATTGATATTAAGTAATACGTACTTAAATCGAAAAACTTGGGGTTGGGAATGGTGGTATGTACCTGTAGTCCCAGCTACTCAGAAGGCCATCCTGGGCAACATTAGTGAGTCCTGTTTCAAAATAAACAAGTAAAAAAAAAATTTAAAAAATAAACAAGTAAAAAAAAAAATAGGTGGACAACTTGTGGCATGTCTATACCTGGGAAATCAGTGCCTCGCCACCGAGAAGGACTGTACCCCTGGCCCTCTGTTAGTCTGCACAAGCAGCCACTAGGGGACACCGCGGCAGGGCAGCTTAACCACAGACGTGGATTGTGTCGTGGTTCTGGAGGCCAAATGTCCAGGACCGGCGTGGCCGCAGAGTTGACCTCTGAGGCCTCTCACCTGGGCTTGTAGTTGGCCGTCTTTCCCTGTGACTTGGCACGGTCTTCCCTGTGTGTCTGTCCCCATTTCCTCTTCTTGTGGGGTACCAGTTAGGCTGAGTCTGGATCCACCCGCGTGGTCTCATTTTGACTTCATGGTTTCTTTCCTAAGGCCCTGTCTCCAAATATAGCCACAGTATGACATCCTGGGCGGTCAAGACTCCAACGTATGAATCTTTCTGGGTAAAACAGTTTTGTCCACTACAACCTCCAGATTTTCCTCAAGCCTTGGTGGTCCCTCCCTGGCCCCGCTCCCGGCGATGCTCCCAGGCTGCCTGCCCTCGGTCTGCTTTCTCCAGCGCTCTGGCTTCTTGGCTTCATTGTTCTGAGACTCACCCTGTTGTGGGGGCTGTGCCATTTGTTCCTACCACATTCTATGCGTTCTGCTGTAGGTGGGCATTTCCAGTATTTTCAGGTTTTGGATTTCTTTTTTTTTTTTTGGTACCAGGGATCCAACTCAGGACCTTGAGCAGGCAGGCATGGCATCACTGAGCTAAATGCCCAGCCCAAATAGGGGTAAAACTTAGACACAGTTTTGCCTTTTTGTTTTGTTTGTTTTGGGGGGGGGGTTTTGGTACCAGGGATTGAACTCAGTATTGATATTGTTAACAGTGGTGCTCTAAATTTATATGTGTTGATTAGGTGACTGAGGTGGGAGGATTGCAAATTTAAGGGCAGTTTAGCGAGACCCTGACTCAAAATAGAAACTTTAAAAAGACTGGGAATGTAGCTCACTGGGAGAGTACTTGCCCAGCATGCGCAAGGCCCTAGTTGTTTGTTTGTTTGTTTGTTTCAGTACCAAGGATCGAACTCAGAACCTTGCACTTGAGAGGCAGGTGCAGTGCCACTGAGCTACATCCCCGGCAAGGCCCTAGTTTTAATCTCTGTCAGTGCTGATAACAAACAAAAAGTACAAAATGTTGTTTCATGTTATTTTGTCTGGATTTTCGGTTGCTTGTTTCAGGTAGGAGGGCAGTTTTCTTGCTCAGTCATGGTCAGCCCTGGACCGTAGAGCCTGTCATTCTGATAGCTCTCCTCAGCCTGAGCTTGAACATGAGAAGCCTTTTTTTTCTTTTTTTTTCCATTATTAGGGATCAAACTCGAGACCTTGTACTTACTAGCTAGGCAGGTGCCGTGCCACTAAGCTATATCCCCAGCCTTTTTTTTTTTAAGTTTTAAGACAAAGACTTGTTACAGTGCTCAGGCTGTCTTGAAATTCATGGTCCCCCTGCATCAGCCTCTTCACCCCACTGGAACCCCAGCATTCATCAGTTGAGCCGAGCAGGCTTTTAAGATGAACTCTTCTGCAGCTTTGTTCTAGTCTTGCTTTCCGACAGCCACACATCTATGCTCTGTAATGTCTCAAACACTTAGGCATCCGTGAGGCTCAAGCCCAAACAGGCCCTAGCAGGTGGTTGAGTCCAGGGCCCAGGGATGCCAGCACAGTGCCCAAGGTGAGCTGGAGGGAGACTGTATTGGCCTTGGTTAATATTGGCCTCAGGACTTGAGGCCTGTGCCTCTGGGTGGCCCTGCTCGTGCTGGGAGGTGGCTACATGATGGGATATAGTTTGGACAGTGGGCAGGTGGACTCGGGATCTCCTGTTTCACTTCTCCTGAGCATTGAAACCAATGAGACACCTCACCCGGAGAGGGTGGCAGCAAATGCCCACCTGGGGCTTCTGATGAGAGTGGACCGGGAGCGGAGGCCCTGTGAGAAACCCACCATTCATGCTCACTGCGGGGAGGAGAAGAGGCCAGGCATTGGCAAGGGCGTGGGCCTCCCAGCAAGCTGGAAGCCAGCCGGCCTCTCTCGGGGTGGGCTATTCCTGGGCCATGTCTCTGCGTGCTTGGGATGGACCCTGAGCCTGTGCCGCACATCTGGGCCTGGACGAGGTGGAAGTAGGAACTACAGGGGCGTTGTCCCGGTGCTGCCCTGATGCGTGGTATGCAGCCTACAGTCTGAGCAGCACAGCTGAGTGGGCGGTGGGGAGGCCAGGAGACTGGGCCAGGAAGCCAGACACGTGGAAGTCGCTAGCGTTGTTGGCTTGGCCACTATGTAAGTGGCTGCTGGCCCGGGCCCTTCCCCACCTTCTAAGCCTCGTGGGTCCCAGAAACCCCACTCTCTGGCCCCAGCAGAGCCAGCTCCCTCCTGTCCTCACTTGCAGCTTTCCTTGTCGTTTTAGCTGCTCAGCTGGGGAGGAACGTGGCCGTGGTTGACTATGTGGAACCTTCTCCCCGAGGTAGGCAGAGCTGATGGGCACCTTGTGTCCTGCAGAGGAGGGGCATGGGGAGGTGGAACCCAGTCGACGTGCAGATGGTACTGGCACTGAAGTCATCTGTCCCCGGCTCTCCAGTTTCCCAGGTATCCTGTGTGATGCACAGACTGGCATCACTTTGAAGTTCTTTATTACCATTTTTTAAATGACTCTGTAGTTTTGGAGAGCTCATCCCCGTGGCAGGCTCCCTCGGACCATGCTTGAGTTACCTCTTGCCTACAGCATGAGGGGTTTTAAACCTGAGTGGAGAGCAAGGATCCTCCTGTACTCTGCTGAATCTGAATTCAAATATGACTTTCCCAAGGCTGGGGTGCAGCTCAGTGGTGGAACCTTGCCTAACATGTGTAAGGCTGCAGACGCAATCTCTAGCACTGCAAAAACAAACAAACAAACAAAAAAGTGCTCTTTTCGATGTCTCAGGTACCAGATGGGGTCTCGGTGGCACCTGTGTCAACGTGGGCTGCATCCCCAAGAAGCTGATGCATTATGCTGCCCTGCTGGGGCCCATGATCCGGGATGCCCACCACTACGGCTGGGAGGTGGCCCAGCCTATCCAGCACGACTGGTGAGGAACCCATGCCACCGGGGTCCCAGTCTTTTCTGCTCCCCTTGGGCAGAGGAAGAGATTTATTGTCTCCTGCGACCGGGAACCACTGTGAGACAGACGCTCTCACCTGGGGGATCCTCTGGGCCTATACCCTTGACACTAGGCAATATCTGGAGACACTTTTGGTTGTCACTGGGTTGGGGAAACGTTTGCTGCATCTGGGCATCTGGGTGGAGCCCAAGGACACTGCTGTACTTCTTACAGTGCATACTATAGCCCTGCCAATGATCTGGCCCAAAGACAATGTTGTAGGGCAGGGAGTTGCTTTATTAAGCTCTTCTGGAAAGGAGACGGGTGCAGGTGATGACATATGACTCTGCCTAGAGCCCATGCAGAGGTGGCTTGGTTTGCAAACCTGTAAACTGACCTTGTGACCACGGCCACGAAGTCTGCATGGTTGTGGGCCACATCCTCCATTTCCTGGGCACAGAGGTCCGCAGCCCCAAACCCTGGTAGGAGGAGTAATACCCCGTGGGGATTGACATCAGAGTGTACACCTTTAAACACACCTCCAGTTCTCAGTCTTTCTGTAAAGATGCTACTTGCACCTGTAGTGTGTATTATAAATCTCTATAGCTAACACCTATCGTGGTTTTTACATTTGGTTTGTATGCCAACAGGAAGAAAATGGCAGAAGCTGTGCAAAACCACGTGAAGTCCTTGAACTGGGGGCACCGTGTCCAGCTGCAGGACAGGTACTGATGCTTTGCCAGCCCTGGTGGCAGTACAGTGGCAGGCCACTCTCTTGTCTTTCCCGGGGTCATTTTAGGTTTGGACCAGCACTTACTGACTGTATGGAGCACACCCTGGCAGGCTCTGGGGCCACGGAAGCTATAAAATTGCGGGGTGGGGGTGCTGTTCCTGGTGGGGACGCAGACAAGGAGTTCACAGGGCAGTTGCTGTGACAAGCGGGGCACACCCTGTAGGCTGAGAGCTGAGCAGAATCCAGGAGCAGCGAGGAGTGGGGAACGGGCGTGATGGCCGCGTGGCTGGAGCCCGGGGAGAAGGGGTGGCAGTCGGGGCTGGGCTGTGTGGACCGACAGGGCCAGTGAGGGGCCAGCCAGCCCCTGGCAGGGTTCTTCCTGTGGGAAAGTCTGTTCTGCCACAGTTATGGGAATAGGGCCGGGGAGCTCCAAGTTGGGCTGCAAAGAGAAGCTTCAAGTGCAGCCTTACAGACCCGCACGTCCCTCCTCTCTCAACTGCTGCGTCGTGAGCCCCACACTCCCAACTCTGACAACATGCACCCCGCATGCCTTCCAGCATCTGAGGCGTCTGGGGCGGCGCGGGGGGGGCAGTGTTTCCTGCTGGAGCACCTGTCCCCGTGTGACCTTCCCGCCTGGGACCACCATCCCTGTCCCTTTTGGGGATTCCCAGGCCAGAGGCTGAGCCTCCCCTGTCTGACACCTTTTGAGGGTTGACACTCGCCTTAGACCCAGCTTGACTCCTGGGCTGTAGCCCTGCCCTTTGTCCCTGTGGAGATGGTGGGCCTCGGAGGTCAGGGATCTCATCTGTGCACCTTTCCTTGGCTCCCTGGGATCTTTCTGGGGCTCCACAGCAGGCAGCGGTTTTGTGCTCACTCAAGCCAGGGAAGCTGGGCCCCTTCCCATTCCCTGGGCTTCGCCAGCTGGTCCCTCACCGGGGACTAAGCTGCTCCGTGCCGCAGAGATTTTGTGTCTTGCGTCCTGTGTGGGGTTCCGCATTCCTGAGTTGGTTTGCTGGGGCCGTGGGCTCAGGGCTCCCAGGCAGGTGCCTGGCAGGCCCACCCCCAGGCCAGCCACACAGCCGCCTGTAGAGGCCGTCTTGGGGACCTCAGCTGTTTCTACTTCGCCTTATTGTGAGTAGTGCTCATGGATGTCGTGTGTCTCTCACATGGCTCTTCCCTGGTAGCCAAGAGGAGTGAGAAGCGCTTCCTGCAGCCCAGAGGGGTGCTGCGGTGGAGAGGGAGAACACACAAGAGCAAAGGGAGGTGAAGCCGTCCCAAGGCACTGAGAACTGCCGCTGCTCCATGGAGTGGGGGTCTTTGTCATCAGAGTGGGGGTCGCTTCTGCACACCGTACGCCCGTTCTCCTGGCCTTAATGAAGACAGAGGGTGCCACCAATACAGTGAGCCATTTAGCTGCCTGCAGACAGGCTGGGGTGGTAAGGACTGGCCTTTGGGAGGCCTGGCCCTTTCTCGTTGCCCACTGTGGCCTGTGTGTGGGCTCCCAACATGGTGCTGAGCTACTTCTGTCCCCCTCAACACCTGTGGTCACTGTGTCCTTGGGAATGTAGCAAGAGAGACAGTGTCCCTTCTCCACTCACCCTTCTTGGTCTGGTTTTATCTCTGCTTTTTTCTTTTCATTTTTTTTTTTTTTGAGGTACTGGGAATTGAACCCAGGGCCTCACCCATATGAGGCAGACACTTTGCCTCTTGGCTGTGTCCCCAGCCCTACAGCTCACTTTTTACCAGTCTGCGCAGTGCTGCCGCTTAATGCAATTGCCGAGGCTTAATTTGCAGAGAAAATGTTTAAACATTTGAAGATCTTATTTTTGTTTTGCAGAAAAGTCAAATATTTTAATATCAAAGCCAGCTTTGTCAACAAGCACACAGTTTGTGGCATCGCAAAAGGAGGTAAAGAAGTGAGTACCGGCCTGTCTTGTGCTCATGGCTATACGGTGTCTCCTGGATGGTCCTGCAGAGCTCAGCGGCTGACTCCAGCCTTGTTCAGCCTGGTGGCGTTCTAGTGAAGGCACTGATGGCAGTGAACAGCGGCTTCCCTCTTTGAAGTCGAACTTCTTTGAAGTGACTAAGCAGGGCTGCGTGTAGCTCAGTGGTAGAGCACTTGCCTAGCACGTATGAGGTCCTAGGTTCCATCCCCAACACTGAAGAAAGAAAAAGCCAGTTTGTGTGAGATGTACGTTACACCAGGCTGCCCTGCTGCTTGGGGTGACCTAGTAGGGAGGGCGCTACCCTCTTTGCGGGATCGTGTGGGGGTTGAGGTGATGAGATGCCTGCTGAGTACCTGGAAACTGGAAGTACTTGGAGTTAGAATGTCTCTTGTCACCCTCTTCCTCAGTAGACCCTTGCTAGGATCCCTGCCCGTGGGATCTCTGAGCCGTAGGCAAGGCTGGTACCGGAACTGCCACCCTGCAGCATGGGAGCCCCTCGGATGTGTGGCCACGGTGCGGTTTTGACCCGTGGCTTTCTTGGTTTGTTCTCCAGACTTTGCTTTCAGCTGAACACATCGTCATCGCTACTGGAGGGCGCCCGAAGTACCCTACGCACGTGAGTGTCCCCGAAGCTGGACCCCTCTGCACCCCAGGCGCGTTCATGGTCTTAGGCTCACCGTGTGCTCTCGACGCCAGAGGCCTCCGCCCTGGAGTTCCTTCTGGATTTGCTGTCGTCACCCTCTCCTTTCCAGCTGACCTCCACGTTGTTCAGTTCTCAAAACTATTATCACTGTACTCAAGCTGGCTTCTGGGCACCACTAGGCCCGTTCTCCTTTCATCCCAGAGTCCCTCCTCCTCTTCAACCTCCTCCTTTTTAAAAAAAATCTGAGATCTCACTGTGTTCCCTAGGCTGGCCCCAAATCCCAGGCTCCAGAGATCTTCTTGCCTCAGCCTCCCAAGCAGTCCGAATGGCAGGTACCACCACACCTGGCCCTAGCATCCCCTTCTAACTCTCCATTGTTGACTCCTTTTCTCTTCAACCTCCAAATATTGGGACATCTAAGACGTAAGCCTTCTTCCCCTAATTCTTAAAAGAAATGTGACATAAAACGTCACCCTTGTGTGGGATACAGTTCAGTGGATTTTAGTAAATTCAGAGTTGTAACCATCAGTCACCAGCGTCCATCTCCAGAACTTTTTGATCATCCCGAATTAATCCTCTGCATCTATTAAACAGTAGCTCCCACGCCCTCCTCCCCGGCCCTCGGCACCCACCATTCTACTTTCTGTCTCTGTGAATTTGATTACTCTAGATCCCCGTGTAAGTAGACTCGTACAGCATCTGTCTCTGTGTGGCTGGCTTACTTCACTTGGCAGAAAGCTCTCCAGGCTCATCTGTGTTTTAGCAGGTGTCAGAATTTTCTTCCTTTTTAGGGTTCGAAAATAGGAGCAGTGTGTGCGTATACCACGTTTTGTATACCGCTGCTCCAGTGATGCATATTTGAGTTGTTTCTTCTTTTTAGCTGTTATGAACTGTCCTTTTTTGGAATGTCCATGTAAAAGTTCTTTGTGATCTTAGTTTTCATTCTTTCTTTCTTTCTTTGTGGGCACCATGTTGTTTTTATCACAGTGGTTTTGTATTTTGACTTTTTTGGGTACCAGGGATCGAACTCAGGACCTTGAGCTCGTGAGGCAGGCAGCAGAACCACTGAGCTAAATCCCTGGTAGTTTTCATTTCCTTTGAGTATTTACTGAAGAGTTGAATTTCTTTCTTTCTTTGTTTTTTCCACTTTTGAGACAGAGTCTTGCTTTGCAGTTCAGGCTGACTTGAATGATGTAGCGCAGGCTGGACTTGAACTCGCGGCGATCCTCCTGCCTCAACCTCCCGAGTGCTGGGATGACAGGTGTGCGCCATCATTGTCTGGCTTCTTGAACTAATTTTGAAAAGCATTTATTCTTTATTATATGTGGCTGCTGAAGTCTACTTAGATAGCTTAGTGGTCAGCAAAGGACTAAGGATGTCCCTAAATACCCGAGACTGCAAAATCTCCCAGCCTGTGCCAAAGGCTCTGTGTGCGTTGGGGCAGGGGGAGCTGCTCTTTAAACCTCCTTGGCCTTCACTTCCTGCTTGTGCAGAGATCAATGCACAGTCGGTGTGAGATGAGCCCAGGGCCTCCTCAGCCTTTCCTGGTGTGTGCATAGCCCAGCCCACATGCCCAGTCATTTAGATTCCCAGAAACACATTAGAGCTCTTCAAAGACCTTTGACAACTCTTTCCTCAGCTTTTTGGTTTGTCCATTTTTGCTTCACCTATTATCCATCACCACAGTCAGCTACGAAGTGAAAACACTGGACATGTGGCCCCAGGGAGAGGCTTGTAGCACTGGGCAAGCTGGAGCGAGGTCAGAACCAGCTGGGTCAAATGCTAAGTGTTCTTGGGCGGGAGGCTTTGAATGGCCTAACCCCAGCTGCACCTTCCCTTCTGTGCTTGCTGTGGAAATGGAGAAGAGAGAGGGCCATTGGAGCGTGAGTGCTTCCAGTCTCACAGGGCCAGGCGGCCTCTCCTCTGTCTGCCAGGCCAGCAAGAACAGCCTGTGGAAGAACCCAGGCTACTTGTGCAGAGGGGTCCTCGGGTGGGCGCCCTGGCCCTACGGGATGACACCGTGTCATTGTTGAACAGTGTCAGGTTCCTAGCGGTTCTCCTTCAAGCCCTCAAAGGCCACAGTTGCTTCCTAGAAGCAAAGTGGTCACATTGGCTCCTCAGAGGTACTGGGCAGAGTTGTACCTGCGTCCATGCAGTGGGCCCCACAGAGGGCTCCTGACCTGCCCGCCTGTTCTCCCGTGCTGGGTGGCTATTGGGTCTCCGTGTGCACACAGGGCAGTAAAGCCAGAGCTCCTGGTTTGGAAAGAGGTAGCTCAGTGCCTCTTACTCTCTCGCCTGTGCAGACCCTGTCTTTAGCACACCCTTGTCTTCCCTGGGTGCCTTCCAAGGCTGGCTTGTGTTTTTCTTTCTGCTCCTAGGGATTGGACCTGGGGAGCACTGAGCTACACCCCCAGTCAGGTTCTTGCTGAGTTGCTCAGGCTGGCCCCAAACTTGCCATTCTCCTACCTGAGCTTCTCAGGTAGCTGAGATTACAGATATGTGCCACGATTCCTGGGTGGCTTGTGTTTTAGTCTCTTTGATTTTCAGAACTTTGGATTTACTTGAGCAAACTGGAGAAATTTCTGGCTTTGTTTATTCTTTCCGATTGGGATGATAACGTGAAATCCATTTCCTCTCTGCCAGTGTGCCGAACTCTCACAGACCCTAGCGGGATGCTCCGCTTCGGGTTTTCTCCCACCTGCTTACTTAGCTGCCCCTTATCGGTGACGTGTGATTTCCAGGCACATCACCCGCACAGGCTGGCTTTGAAGGGTGCCGGGCCCGTCCAGCCGCAGCCTGGTGCCCTCAGAGCCCTCTGTGTCCCACGTATAGCTGTACCTCGACCTGCAGTGTGACACCCGCTCAGCTGCTGTTCCCCTCTCCCCGGCTGGCTTCTCTCCCTGGGATGCTGCACAGTTCTCCTAAGCCCTGGTTCGCTGCCCTCTCTTCACTCACTTTGTGAGCCTGGGGCCCGGGTCCTTGGTGCTGCTCCCTTAGTCTTTGTGCTCCCAGCTCCTTCCTGGATACCTGGACTGGCCGGGGGCCAGCCGTCCGACCTCGGAAGCTGCTATGCCTGCCTTGGGGCTTGTGCCCCGGGCCTGCATCAAGATCGGGGAAAGTTACTGGATGCACACCTGTCATCCCAAGCACTGTGCGGGCTGAGGCACAAAGAGTGCAAGTGCAAGGCCAACGTGGGGAATGTAGCAAGATTGGCTCAACATAAAAAATAAAAAGGGGGCTGAGAATGTAACTCGGGAAGAACACCATAAACGGTAAACAGGAGGAGGCCCCGAGAGCAGTGGGGAGCTGCTACCACATCCGCCTCGGAGGGCCCTCACCAGGGCGTGCTGGGCGTGCTTCCCCAGCGGGCCACAGCTGAAGACGAGGACGTAGGGCAATCAAGCTGGGCACATATCCGCATATGGGTTGGTTGTGGTCGAGTTGTTTCTGTAGAAGAGGCATTTTGTTGTTGTTGTTGTTGTGTTTTGAGGCAGGGTCTCACTGTGTAGTTGAGACGGCTCTGGAACTCACTATGTAGCCCAGGCTGGTCTGGAACTCACAGCGATCCTCCTTCCTCAGCCTCCTGAGTGCTGGGATGACAGGCGTGCGACCTCTCGCCCGGCTCTAGAAGTGGCATTTTGAAGAAGTCCCTGGGACAGACCAGATGACGGTCTTGTCACACTGGTGCTTTTTTTCTTGATAGATCGAAGGTGCCTTGGAATATGGAATTACAAGTGATGACATCTTTTGGCTGAAAGAATCCCCTGGAAAAACGTAAGGCTGGTGTGTGCAGGGTGGGCACCTCCTTCTGTTCACTGATGCCCAGTTCTGAGGCCATCTTTCCAGTTTCTGTAAAAGAAGGAAGGAAAGCTGGACATGTGCCCTCTGCTGGGCCGTGGACACTGCTTCCTGTGGCTGTCTTGGGAGTGGTACCATGGATGGCACTTAAAGTAAGCTGGTCTCCATCAGGTCCCTTAGAGACAGTGCGAAGGGCCCCAGTTAACTGTCTCCAGTTATCTGTCTTGTACATTGGGATTCCCTGAAATCTAGGATAGGATCCAAAAGCCTCAAAAGCTACCGCCCGGTTGTAGCCCTAAGACCAGCAGCCTGCGAGCAGCACACCTGTGCTACCCGCGAGCTCAGCGGTGCAAGATTTCCAGGTTACAGGGTTAAGATAAACCACCAGAGGGCAGTAGAGGCTGGGTTGCTGGCCGCGATGACCACCTCAGGAGCTTAACCCTAGAGAAAACGTTGGTGGAGCTCGGGAGAGACTGAGGCAGCTTGAACTAGTAGTGAAACCCTGCCTCCCAAAGCAAGCAAACAAACTATGCGCCCGCGTGCGCGCACACACACACAAGAAAAGGAAATACTGGTGGAGAAACGTCTAGAAGTGGTGTGTGTGTGTGTGTGCCTGCAGGTGTGCGTCGTGGGCATGTTGGAGCATAAGTGCTTGCACACGCGGCTGGGGAGTGTGCGTGTGTCACATTGTTTCACACGCTCAAGGCACTAGCAGCTCTTGAGTCCTCCGCACGGTGTGTACCTTCTTTTACGTTTGGTCCATGGGTGAGCGTCTCCGTAGTTTCTCGTCCCTGTTCCTACTGCGATCAAACCTTTGCTATGTATCTATGTACACCGTCCCTTTCTCCAGTTTTTAAAATTATAGTAAAATACACACACAGTTTACCATCGCGACCCAAGCTTGGTGGCACACACCTGTAATCCTGGCACTCTGGGAGGCTAACGTAGGAAGATCACAAGTTCAAGCCCAGCCTGGACAGCTTAGCAATGTAGCAAGACTGTGTCTTAAAATTTAAAAAGAAAAGAAAAATGGAAAAGGGTTGTGGATGTCGCTCAGTATGAAGCCCTGTTTAATCCCGAGTACCAAAGCACATGACTTAGCCTTTCTAAGAATATGGTTCACTGATATTAAATGTGCTCATAATGCACAGTCATCACCACCGTCCGTCTCCGGAACCCTTTTCACCTCCCCCAACTGAAATTCTGTATCCGTGAAACAATAACTGTTCCTCTCCTCTCCGGCTGGCCCTGGAACCACCATTCTCTGTTCTGTTTTGATAGCCGTGTGACAGCTTTCACTACATCCTGGAAGTGGACAGCAGCACTTGTCCTTTGCACTAGCACACGTCAGAATGTGCTTCCTTTTTAAGTCTGAATGATGCCGTGCCGTTTGTATGTTTCTCACTTTGTTTACCATTCACCTGTCCATGCGCACTTGGGTCGTTCGTACCCCTCAGCTGTTGTGGCTAACACAGCTGTAGACATGGGGGTACGGATACGATTTGGTTCCGACTTGCGGTTCTTTTGGGTATAAACCTAGAAGTAGAGTTGCTGGGACTTTTCGAGACTCTGCCCAACTTCCCCAAGCAGCTTCAGCGCCTTGCCTTCCCACCAACAGTGACAGGGCTCCCGTGTCCCCGCGTCACTCCAACACTGGTCATTTTGTGGTCCCGACGGGCGAGGTAGGTTTATACATTTCGTGTCTACCTCGCGGGGTCTTTCCTAGACGTTGAGGTCCTGGTCCGGGTGTCGATGACCTTTCACCTTAAGACGTTTTGCCACAGGTTAGCCACACCCTGTCCTGTCCACCCTTCTGCCTGCGTCCCCTTGTCCCTCTGTAACTTGGCATCGGCTCGTAAAACATAAATGGGCCAGTAGTGGTGGCACGTGCTTTTCGTCCCAGCTACTCTGAAGTCGGAGGCAAGAGTATCGCAGGTGGAATCCTGGCCTAGGAGACTCGGTGACACTTGGTCTCGAAACAAAACTAAATGAGAGGGCTGGAGATGTAGCTCAGTGCTCCCTGGGTCCAGCCCTCTGTACAGAGCCGTCACATGGAAAGGTGCTGCTGCTCCAGTCCCTGTGCCCTAGCCACACGGTCCCGCCTGCGGCCGAGCCCGCGCCAGTTTCTGTCTGCTGCCTCCCACCAGATCCTCAGTCTGGTTTGTCTTTTGATGTCATAATATTTTTAAATTATGTATTCATTTATTGATTGATGGTATCAGAATCGAAGTCATGGCCATGTGCATGCCAGGCAAGCACTGTATCACTGAACCACACACCCCGCCCAAATGTTGAATTTCTTAGTTTGTGACATGTGTCGCTGTTTCTTTTATGCCGCAGTTTCTAGGTTATCTGGATTTTTTTGTTTGTTTGATTTTGTTTGGCTACTCATTTATTTAGCAGTACTGGGAATTGAGCCCAGGGCCTTGCACACGTTGGGGCAAGTGTTCTGCCACTTAGTCCCCCAGTCCTTTATCCGTTTTTGTATTTTTTAATTATTTATTTATCTTTGTACAATTTCTTAATTAATTAACGTATATGTGTATATGTATATGTATATGTAATACTGGAGATAGAACTCAGGGTTCTTTGCATTGAGCTACATCCTCAGTCCTTTTTTTTTTAATTTTGAGATGGGATCTTGCTAAGCCTGGGCTCCAGTTCATGATTCTCCCGCCTCAGCCTCCCAGACGCTCGAATTATAGGCGTGCACCTCCGCTCTCAGCTTGATTTATTTTATCTTTAACTGTCTGATAGATTGAGCACAACGTCATTCTGTTTGTGTATTTACTGGCCTTTCCTGAAACTGAGAGTGTCTGTGTGTGAGTGTGACAGCCTGGGCACGCGAGTGTGAGTCATGAGTTTGGTCCGTGGCCCACTTTCTAGCCAGATGGTTTCTCTTCTCTTATCTTTTTCTTATCTTCCAGCTGGTTTGCGTATTATAGATGGGATCCTGTGTTACACACAGAGCAGATTTTCTCAGCTTCTCATGTCTTTTAACTCGTGTAATGTACAAGAGGTTTGTTTTTTTGGATGTAACTTAAATCTCTTTTTACACTTAATGGCTTTTAGATTTATTACATGTTCAGAAAGGCCTGTCCTACCTCCAGTATATATTTTTTAAGTCCCTGTATTTTCCTGTAGGGCTTCCTTTGCTGTATATCCTAGGTCTGCTTGCCACTGTTGGTGGGTGTTAGGTGTCCCCTGCCAGGCCGCAGCTTGGCCCCTGATACCTGTCTGAAAACACCATCCCCACCTGGGGTCCCCAGTTCTGCCTCTGGCCCCTGCGACTGGTGTTTTCAAATCTTCTTCGTTTGCTTCATGCTGATTTCCCTTGGTAGAATTTAGACATATTTCCCCAGCCTCTCGGTAATGCTCTAGGTGCTAGACCTGTCTTGAAAGAGCCTTGAACGTGTGGCAGCCTAGGATGCCAGTCCCTGCCCTGCTCCTCTGTCCAGGTTGCAGTCTCCTGTGGGCTCAGGTCATTACCTTGGCCTGTCACCAGGGCAGCATTTTCTGAGTTCTGCGCCTGCGCATTTCTGGGGAGAGGGAACCCATGCAGGGGCTACGCAGTGGTGAAGCCCAGGGAGGATTTGGCTCCAGTGAGGTGGCCGGTGGCTGGAGGACCTCTTCTCTGACTGTGTGCTATGAGCAGCCAGCCTCACCAGGAAGACATGGCCCCAAATGTTTTGGTCAGGAAAGAAACTACAGTGTTTATTTTCTTCAGAAAGAAAACATTTAGGAGCTTTTTTTTTTAAAAAAAGCTCTTTAGTTTAGAAGAAATCTAGGTATGTTATTGTTTAAGAAAAAAAAAGTGTTTGCAATGTATCAGTCACCCGTTTCATTCTGAACATGATTTATGTGAGGAAATGGTTTTTTTAAAAATTAAGCTAGAGATATATCCCTGTACGATGCTTCTGTGAAAATGCAGCTTTTGTCTGAGGCTGTTAATGCAAGTTGTAACAGTGTAATACGGGAGTGAGTGTTTACATGTTACATTCCTCCGCAGCAGTCAAAATAAGCCCGGAGGGTCTACAGTAGCATTTCTGTATTTTATCAGCTTGGGCTGGGGCTGAGGGGGAGGCCTCTGCTCACACTTGGAGGGGCTGTTTCTGCCAGATTTATTTGCCTTATAAATATTCCCCATGTTTATTTTAACTCGCCTTTAAAATGGAGCTGAAATTAATATGGACCCTAGGGCTGGCCCTCTGGCCCCAAAGTGCCTCCTGGAGTCGGGCAGGGACATTTTGACTGCTTTTCCCCCACCCCGACCTGGGGGCTGGTGGGTCTGGTGGGCCCAGCGTGCCGGCGCTTCTGCCTGCAGTGGGAGCCGAGTTTGCTGGTCGGCAGCTCGGCTAGAGACGGACGGCTTCAGCCCTGGCCGGGGCCCTGACGTGGTCTGCACCGCCTGCCTGCGTGACGCCCAGCCCCTCGAGCTCCTCGCGTGGGCACAGGCAGCAGCGGTCACTTCCAAGTGCGTCTGCGTGGGGCCCAGGGCAGTAGTTTCAGTTGCCCCTGAAACGAGTTGGGCCTGTGCTGGTCCCAAGGCTGGTCCATGCTGCCTTTGGGCGTCACACGGGAAGCCTCCCTTTCTTCCTGGCCGGCATCAGGTCTCAGGGAGCCCAGGGCTGGACAGATGGCAGAGATGGGCCAGTCGTGCCTGAAACCTGTCCATAGAAGACGAAATTAAGTCAGACTCTTCACTCGACGGCTGGGTGCCGCAAAACAGGGCCGCACCTGTTGGCCAGAGCAAGCTAAACACCCGGGCCGGAGCCTGTGAAGGCGATCATTCCGTGTAGAGAACCCCTGGAAAGGCGGCGTGCGCTTGCATGTGGGTGGGAGGGACCCTCAGGCCCCGTGGGCTCAGGGATGTCCTGGCTGCCTCCGATGCTGAGGGCCAGTGCAGGGCCTCGAGTGGAGCTGCAGCTTTGTGCCTGGGCTTTGCTCCCTTTTCCGTTATGCTTGCTTCTTTACTGCTTTGTCAAATCCAGAGTAGGTTGAAGAACCGAGGAGATTCTGGAGTGGGGCAGGGTCCCCTGGGAGGCGGCGGCAGCTTCTTCAGGACGGGTGGGCCGCGGGTTAGCGGCCACTGTAGGCAGCCGTATGCTCCCAGCTGGGAAAGTTGGGGACTGAGGGGTGTGTGGTCTTGCAGGACTGAACTGTCCTGTTCCGCAGAGCGAGGCCCTCAGAGATGGGGGTGTGTGAAGGTGAGAAAGGTGAACTCACTCCTCGGATTTCTTCGGGGAGGGCTGCATTGGGTTAGGGTTCAAGTGCAGCCAAGAAAAGCCTGCAGCCCAGAGGGCCTGGCGAGTAAGGGAGGTCAAGGAGCTGCCCTCGACCTCCTGCCCCACAGCCCAGGCCATTTTCTAGCCTGCTCCCGCCTGGAGGGCTGCCCGCCTGGACGGGTTGGGCTTGGCCACCCACCCTACCTCCGCTTCCTGGTCTGCATGGCCGAGGCTCTGCTTCCTCCCTTGACGTCAGGTTCTGGTAGCCTAACCCCAAAGCAGAGAATCGTGACCACTCAGTTTCAGAACCCTTCACCCCGCTGCAGACTGACTGGCTCACTGTGTCTGGAGGTCAGTTTTCTGCAAAGCTGGGCTGAGCTGGCACTGCTGGGCTAGGGAAGAGGTCTGACATGAGCCGGCAGCTGTCTTGGGTGGCTCTTTTCCCTGCATCAGATCTACTTTGAGATCCAGTAACTGAGTTGCTATTTCTAGGTAATGGCCAGGACCTCGTTGTCCCTGCTGTCCACTCATGGGTCCTCACCCAGCTCCTGATGAGGCCTGCAGGGCATGAGGACACCTTGTCTCACAGCTGCCGGCCCCGCTCTGGGGCTGCCCAGACTGCGTGTTGGGAGGCAGGAGGCCAGGGTGTCCACTTCTGCAGCTGCTCCAGCAGCCCAACGCTTTCTGTCCCTGGGCCCTCAGGGCTTTGTGAGGCAGGGAGAGTGGTTTTATAATTCGGATTGAATTAAAGCTGTCAGAATTTGTCATGGGAGGGACTGTTTGACCCTATTATGAAGTTTCAGAAGCCTAGCCAAGCACCAGTTATTATTATTTTTTTTTTCTCTTCCTAAGCATGAGGGAGGAAGGTAAACTTTATTTTAGGGAGAACCACAGCTGCTTATTTAGAAGTGATCACTGCTTACTAGTCTCATTTTCTGCTTAACTTCCACATTTGTTTGATGTACTGTTCTGTGTCCAGCACAAGGGAGATTAGCCGTTTACCTGGCACTTGGTTTCCCGGACTGTAAGGCCTACCTGCCCATCTGCCTGTGGCTAAGATGCAACTGCTCAGGGCCTGGGGCATCTGTTACCCCGAGGTTGGTCAGTGAAGTCTCCTTTGGGCCCAGCACCGGGTACCAAGGGGTCAGATGGGGCTGGCAGGCCTCTGGCAAGCCTGGAGCCAGCCCTCACTGGGGTGGAGCCCCCCTCTGCCCCATGCTGTTCACTCGGGGCACCCCCAGCTGGCATTTCCCGTGTTGACAGGCGTGCCAAGGGACCACATGGTCCCTGAGACTATCACTTTTGTGAGTGTGCTTTCTGGAGAGAGGGGATCAGGGCCTTCAGGCTCCAGAGGCAAATGGACAGCTTTTTAAGCCTGGGCTGCTCTGGCCTGTGTTAATGTTTTTGGTTTTGCTCCCTCCCCTGTTCTGATTTTAAGCAAGAAAGCCTGCCCTGTGATTAGGTTAATCTCATGGTAGTTATACCTCCCTGGAAAATGTTGTACACCAAAAGGCACAGAGAGATGAGCTGCCTGGAACACACACAAATTTGGATTTGTGGCTTACAGGGTACAGAATGGTGGCTTCTATGTGGGTGGGCAGATACACTGGTTTGGGTTTTTTTTAAATACTAGTGGTCGGGCCAGAGATTTAGCTCAGTGGCGCCAGCACCTGCCTGGCAAGCACAAGGTCCTGAGTTCGATCCCCAGTTCAAAAAAAAAAAAGGTATCCACACTAAATACTAGGGGTTGAACCCAGGGCCTTGAGCTTTCTAAGTCCTTTTTTAACTTTTATTTTGAGATTGGGTCTTGCTAAGTTGGCTGGGTTGGCCCCAAACTTGCTATCAGGCCTTGCCCTCCCAAGTAGCTAGGATTATCAGGTCTTTTATTGGCAGTGTTAAGTCGAGTTTCCAGTCCCTGGGTCTGGTGAGCTGGTCCCCTGACTTCTGCCAGCACCGCCAGACTCCTCGTAGCTGGCCGTGGCCTCTCATGGTTGTTGTACCTCTGTAGCTGGTATCAGTGCCACTGGTCCTTGTCTGTCCCCCAGCCCTGTCCCCCAGCCCTGGTCTGTGAAAGTCCACCTGCAGTTAACCGTCTCCTGGATCTCTCTGCTCCTTGTGACTGGAGGCTTCGACGTCTGATCTTGTTTTTCCTGCAACACTTTCCTACTCCAGTCACTTTGAAGGGAGTTCTCTGTTTTTGAATTCTTATATCCTGCCTCCGCCTCCCAAATGCCGAGGTTACAGTGTGTGCCACCATGCCCAGCCAGAAACAAAGTATTTTTGCCAGAATCAGGAGACCACATTGTTTCCTGCTCAGCAATGGAGAAGGGCCGAGAGAAGGCCCGGCCCACTGTCCTAAAGCCTGGAGGCGACAGCCAGCCCCTTCACCGAGGAGGGTCAGCAGGTGGGCTCCTGGACAGCAGGGAAGCCCAGGCGGCAGTGGAGAGGCCACATTGGCGACACTGCCCTCGCACCTGCATGGCTCAACAAGATGCAGTCTTGTTGTGTGGGCACCCCTGGGAGCGGCGAGCAGGGACCCTGTGTGTTGAGCACTGACACACTTTCCCAAAGTGGATCTGGATATTCACAACAGTTGAATCCTGTTTGTATTTTAAGTACCTTGTAATTTCACATCTTACAGGCTTATTCCTTTCACTGTGTCCATCAAATCCCAAAAGAGTTGTTCTGTGCTTTTGGGAATGGGCCTTCACGTATGTGTTGCGTGTACCTGTGCACCGACATGTGTTTCTTAGGCACTGCTGACCCTGCATGAGGTCGGGGAAGAACCTCTGCTTTCCCGGTCTCACACACCGAGTGGGGTTGTATGACCAGCTAGGACCATTTTGTGCCCAGCCAGGCACAAAGTTCTGTCCCCGGCTCCTGAAGAAGGAGGCACCTCCGGTGTTCTAAGGGGTGTGCTGCTTCTTGAGATGAGTTGTATCATTAGTACCTGTTAGGATCAGGGCTGACATTGGGCTTATCGTCGTCCAAGGCCAAGGGGTGACCTGACGAACCCGCCCATGTGTAGTTACCCTGGCTGGGGGTGTCTGCTCAGCGGGTTTGAGCCTGCTTGCATGTGTGTTTGCGTGTTGCCTACATGAGTACGTGTGTGTGGTGTATGTGAGAGTGCACGTGTGCACAGAAGCGATAGGACTGCACGTGAGTGTGCGCTGCACATTGTGCGCGCATCTGCGTGTGCACTGTGTGTACACCGTGGTGCGATGTAAGTGCACATGCGTGTGTGCCTGTGACTGTACCTGTGTGTCAGTGTACAGACTGCAGGTTTGGCCGCAGGGAAGGATTTATACTACTAGGAGTGGGTTGGGAAGGTAGCTGAGGGGCAGAGCACTTGCTTAGAAAGTGCAAGACCCTGGGTTCAATACTCCTACCACAAACAACAAATCAAAAACTTTTAGAGCAGATATTCCTAGTGAGTCTCAGCGTCCTGTGTCCCCCGCCCTGTGCCCTCAGTTATTGCTGAGGTTGCTGACTCTTCTGGTGCCAGGTCCCGCTCTGGAGCTAGACAGGATGCTCGGGGTTTCCACCCTGCTTTTCTGTGGTCTCACGGTGTTGTGCTCACAGAATGTGCTTCCCCAAGGAAACCTGTGTCCTGCCCCACCTTGTTCCCTCACCATCCTGCAAACGATTGCCCTGCTTCTGTGCTGGCTTTAGGAGGCCCAGAGGGCCTCAAGGCAAAACTCATTCGGGACAGAAAGAAAACCTTGGGCTTCTCCTAATAGGCATTTCTCCCCGCATCTGGCAAATCCTGGAGCTGCCCAGTGCCTGTCTTGGGACAGGTGCCATTTGTCACTAACCACATGCCCTTCACCACCAGGCAATTTACCAGTTCCATAATACTGTTTGTCGTGTTGTATTTCACAACTGTGGCCTCTGGGAAGTGCGCTTTGTATCTTGGGATGACCTGTTTGAACAGCCAGCCTCGGTGCTCATTAGCTGAGTGCTTCCGTGTCCCACCCTTGGGGTGACAGTTGTGTGCCCGTGTGGGCTACGCACCCACCTACTCCGTGCGCTCTCTGTTTCTCTGCAGGTTGGTGGTTGGGGCCAGCTGTATCCTTCGCTAGTGTGCAGTAACTCTCCTGTGCCATGGACTTGTGTTCCCTAGAGTCCTTCCTGACAGCACTCTCTCTTGCTGGGCCCTTTGCTTCCTTGCATTAGGCTCGCTGAGCTTTTGGGGGCAGAGGGCCTGTGCCCAGGGGACAGTTGGATGCCGACCCCTGTGGCCAGGGCTTCCCGGAAGGTCTTCCTGAGCCACACACCGAGACAGCCAGCCAGTGGGAGCAGCTGGGCATGGCCGTGAAGCAGACAAGTGATCTCCCTGGAGAGCTGTCGGCTCCTGTCTCGTTCCTTCAGAAGGAGCGGTCAAACCATCAGGGTTAAGAGAGGAGTCCGGGGGCCCAGGGTCAGGACAGAGGACATCTGAGGGGAGATGAAAGCCCCGGAGCCGCCCATCCCCTGTGAGCGCAGGTCTTGGGTGGCAGTTTTGTGTCTTCTATCCATGGGGATTTTCTTCCCCCCAGCCCAGCTGTTGGTTGTGCTGTGACTCAACCAGGATGCGGGTGCAGCCTTGGAGGTAGAGATTAAACTCCAGAGCCAGGATGAGAGCACTGCAGAGACACCCGCCAGGCTGGTCCACGATGCTGTTGAGAGGGCTCAAAGCCTGGGCTGGAAGAGCCCCTAGTCCCCAGGCTGTGCGCATGAGACCTGGGGTGTGGGCGACCTGCAGCTCGTGTCAGGAGTCTCTGCTGGGGCTGACCGGATCGGTGGGTGTGGGCAGCTGGAGTGAGGCCCTGGGGGCCTGCTTCTTTGCTTCCAAAACCACGATCTGTGAGCGCTCCTTAGCCCGTCACCTGCAGACGTAGCCCTGGAGTGTGCTGGCTTCCTCACGGGAATCGGCCTGGACGCCACCGTCATGATGCGCAGCATTCCCCTCCGAGGCTTCGACCAGGTAGGCCGGCGGCTCCAGCTCCCACCCTGTGCGGCTGCCCTCCCAGAGGGCTGGGCTTCCTTCCACCCACCTGTCACCGGGCAGGTAGAGGTGTGGGCTGGGAAGGCGGTCTCGTGCCTCAAGCAGACTCTGAGTTGGAGGAGGACGTTTTCAGCAAACATGAAAGTGCACTTGTGGGCGCCTAAAAGGAAGGCTGGTCAGTGGGGTGTGCACACAGCTGCACAGATGTGCCCCTGCCAGGCCGCAGGGACACTGGCTGTCCCGTCATATGTGGTGGGCGTGTGTCCCCCTGTGGAGGACTCTCCTCCACCTCAGAGACTCCCTTCTCCCTCCACGCTGAGCCCAGCTCCAGGCAGGGAGGAGCAGGTGAGAGACTTGCCCCTCTGTGATGCCCCCCACCACAGCGTCCTGGTAAGCTTGGCCTCCATCTGCAGCCTGGGGCCTTCTAGGCCATGACCCGAGGGAGGGGCACACACGCCTTTGGCCTCCCAGTCGGTGCCCTTGCCTGATGCTCCTGCACTTCTCAGGGAGCAGGGTCTTACGTTGGCGTTCTCAGCTCCCTGATGGCAACAAAGGCAAACTGGTCCCGCTCTCTGCGGCTGGGTGGGGAGAAGAAAAGCCGTCGCTGTGGGCCTGGGCAGAGTTACTAGGTGTGCGTGCTTCTCGGTCATTGGAGTCTAGAGAAAAGCCTGCAGACCGAGCACCTCCTGACCGAAGAGCTCAGCATCTGGGGTCCAAAGAGCAAGAGGACCTGGAGGTGGGGTGGTGGGTGGGTGCCCCACATTCTCCTGTGAGTAGGCCCCTCTTCAGCCCTCAGCAGGGCCTTCGAGAGCCAGGTGGGGAGGGGCCCTTTCCCCCGGGGCCGGCATCGGTAGTGACGTTCTCACTGTCGCTTTGTCCTCACGGTGCGCCCTCTTGTGCTTTGCAGCAAATGTCTGCTTTGGTCACAGAGCACATGGAGTCTCACGGCACCAGGTTCCTGAGAGGCTGTGCCCCCTCCCACGTCAGGAAGCTCCCGGACGGTCGGCTCCAGGTCACCTGGAAGGATGGCATCTCCGGCAAAGAGGACACGGGCACTTTTGACACAGTCCTATGGGCCATAGGTAAGGGCCATCTCTGGTCCCCTGGTGGAGCCGGAACTCGGTTCTCTTGGAACAGGACCCCCACCCACCAGTTCTGCTGGGTGACAGGTTGGCTGCCACCTGGTGTACCTCAAGGGCTGTTGCGAAGGCCATGGGGACAGTGCCTCCATCTACAGCCTGGGGCCTTCTGGGCCAGGAGGGCGGAGCACACAGCCCTTTCACCTCCCAGCCTGGGTGTCCCAGCACACTGTACCTCTGTTTCTGTTTTTTCTTCTTTTTTCTCATTGAGTTTATTGGTTCATTTTAGGTATACAGTACAGTTACATTCATCATTGGGATCTTGTGCCTTTACATGACAGGTCTTGGTTCTCATTTTTTCCCCTTGTCCCTGCCCTCCCTTCGCCCCGTCCCCTCCCCTATTTACAAAGACTTTATTTCCATTTTTTCCTTTTGTCATATTTTTTCTTTTCCCTTCCCCTTCCCACTTCCCCTACACTTTTAGCCCTTTTCTTCCTATTTCACATTGTCAGTTATACAATTTGGATCTTATTTACACTTTTAGTTTTTCACGACAGAGAAACTATTCAGTATTTATACATGTGTGTCTTATTTATTTCACTTAAGAGTATGGCCTCAATATGCATCCATTTTCCTATGAATGTCTCTAGTTTCTCATTCTTTATGGCTGAGTAGTACTCTGTTTTATAGAAAAACCACATCTTTACCCAGTCTCCCGTTGATGGGCAATTGGGCTGTTTCCAAGTTGTAGCTATTACTAACCGTGCCGCTGTAAACATGGGTGTGTATCTATAACTGTGGTATGATTCTTGTAATTCTTTTGGAAAGATACCCAGCAGAGCTATGGCTGGGTCAAATGGAACCTCTAGTCCCAGCTCTCTGAGGTATCTCCATATTGATTTCCATAGGGGTTGCACCAGTCTGCACTCCCACCAACAGTGGAGAAGGGTTCCTTTCTCCCCACAGCCCCGCCAATGTTTGTTATTGGTTGTTTTTTTTTTTTTTTTTTGTATCGGGGATTGAACTCGGGTCCTTGTGCACTTACAAGGCAGGCCACCGAACTGCTGAGCTAAATCCCCGGCCCTTGGTTGATTTTTTGATAGCAGCCATTCTTTCTGGGGTGAAATGGATGTACCTCTGTTTCTTTTTCTACTGTTATGTGATGTTCTGAAAGCACAGACCAGAGACCCAGATAGTGTCAGCTGTACGTCGTCATTAGGAAAGACTAGTGCATTCCTGACTTCCATGGACTTGGGTAGATTATTTGTTCAGGTTTTGGTGTGGAGATCCTGTATGTTTCCTATGAAGTTTAAGACTTGATTTTTTTCCTTAACAAATTAGAATTTTTGCATCATAAATTCAAACTATTTTTTTAAAGACAGGGCTTCATTGTGTAGTCCTGGTTTTCCTTGAACCCACTGTGTAGCCCAGATTTGGCTTGAACTCTTGGTGATCCTCCTGCTTCAGCCTCCTGAGTGCTGAGATTACAGGTGTGTGCCACCATGCCCAGATTTAAACTAGTTTTGTGTTTTGGTGGTGCTGGAGATTGAACCCAGCAGTTTTGTACCACTGAGCTATAGGTCCAGCCCTTTTTATTTTTTTATTTTGAAACAAGTTCTCACCAAATTTCCCAGGCTGGGCTCAAACTTGAAATCCTCTTGTGTCAGCCTCCTAGTAGCTGGTATTACAGACATGAAGTACTGTGCCTAGCAAGTTAGTTGCTTTTGACACAAAAATGATACATATTTTAAGTTTTTAAAATTGTGGTGACTTATGTTGCATTTATAACATAAAATTCACTTTTTGATGTTTGTTTGTTTGTTTGTTTTGGTACCGGGGATCGAACTCAGCTTCTCGAGCTTGTGAGGCAGGTGCTGGAACCACTGAGCTAAATCCCTGGCCCGAAGTTCACTTTTTGGATGGGGAGAGTGGTACTAGGACTGAACCTGAGGGTAGGCAGGTGCTTTACCACTGAGCTGTACCCCGGCCCGTTCGCTGTTTTAGCTGCTAGGTGTCCGGCACAGTGGCGTTAGTGCATTTACGTTGTACAACGACCTCTACCACCCATCTCCAGCTCTTTCATCACCTCACACTGAAACTCGGTCCTCATCTAAACACGACCTCTCATTCCTGCCTCCCTTGGACCTTGACCACTGCCATTCTGTTTTCTTTCTTTCTTTTTTTTTTTTTTTTTTTTTTTAGTTTTGTTTTTATTTTTAAGTTTTGATTTTGGTGCCAGGGATCGAACTCAGGACCTTGCACTTGGAAGGTGGGTAGCGGCACCACTGAGCTAAAGCCCTGGCTCACCATTCTATTTTCTGTCTCGGTGAATTTGATGTCTCTTGGTACGGCACAGAAATGGAATCATGTGGCATTTGTCATTTTGTTCCTGGCCTCTTTCTCTTAGCATAATGTCCTCAAAATTTTTCCGATGTCAGACTGTCCCTTTTAAGGCTGGAAGATTTTGTGTATCCATTCATCTGCGGATGGACACTTGGGTCGCTTTCACCTTCTGACCGTTGCAAATAGTGCTGTTGGAACGTGACCACGAAGTAGCTGTTTTTAATGAAAAAGCAACACAGGAGCGAGGGGTGTGGCTCAGTGGCAGAGCACTTAGCTAGCACGTATGAGGCCCTGTGTTTCATCCTTAGCACGGGGGGGGGGGTAGCATCTCTGTGCACACAGCCCCGCCCACCCGCATACCGGCACCTTTTAGATTTACCTTGCGGTTTGACAGCTGCCCTGTGTCCTTGCACCTTGACAGTAGGAACAGTTGAGGTGTTGCTTCCTTCCCGTAGTTTGGTTCTCTGAAGTCTTTGTCCTGAGCTTTGTCTGGGTCTCCCTGACGTGAGTTGGGGTCAGAACCTGGGTCACCCTCGGAAGCCTCACCTCGCTGCACCCAGGGAAGCGCGTGCTTACCGAGTTGCCTCGGTAGGCTGTGCCGTCAGCATTCCTCCGACGGCGGTAACCCCAGGCTGGGGGTCCAAGGGGAGCAGCGAGGCTTTACACGGAGCAGCGCACTTCGGAAAGACAAAGAAAGACCCAGTACAGAAAAACACCCTTTTCTCCTGGGTTTCTCAGAATATATGGAGATCGAAATGAAGTCAGATCCCCAGCCTCAGAAAGCAGTTTGGATGTGCGAGTTCTGAAGTGCCCCGGAGTGAATTTGGTGCTTCTCTACCCGAAGTTGACCAGTTACCAAAGAAAATGTTCTCGGGCAAACTGTCAAAATAAATTTTAAGTAAATTCATTATGAGTGGTGTGAAAGAGAAAGCAACCTTTCGGACCCAGAAGTGTACTGATGTTTATCTTAAACCCCATTCTAAATGGAGAGGTGGCCTGCTTCCTTCCGAGTAACTGCTCCCCTGGGCTTGCCCTTGCCCCTTGACGGGCACACACAGCCCTCGTCTCACCTGTGGACCGAGGGGTGGGCCCTGCAGCCAATGCCCTCAGCGGCGGCGGGAGTGTGGAGCCAGGGGCCGCGCCTTTGGGAATCCCCGGGTTCTCTCAGCTTCTAGGCACTGGTCCTCTGGCAGGAGAAAGGCCCCTGCCTGGCAGAGCCGCCAGGGTACACACACCCGCCCTCTCCTGCTGGGAGTCTGCTCTGTAGTCTGTATTTCCAAAAGAGCACCCCCTAGACGGTCTGCCCGGCTTGATTGATGCTGGGGGTGGACGCTTTCTGCAGCCCTTGGCCTCTGACCTTGCTTCCCGAGGGCTGCAGAGGCCGGGTTTCTGGCACGCCTTCCAGGAGGCTGTGGGGGTGGTGCAGGCATGTGCTGACTTCGCTGCTCCCTACGAGCCTCGTTTTGTAAACATGCAGGAGCCACTTCCCAGCTGAAGAACGGGGAAGATTTTCTGCTGGTTTGTACCGATAAGCCTTTAACCAAGCATTATTTCTACTTGCAATAAAGGATCATCTATCTGCTCCAGGAGGTTAAAATGTAACGCCCTGGCGGGGAACATGGCTGGCACCACTGACATCTGTTTGGACGGTGACTCTCACCTCAGACATTTAGTGCTGACTCTGGATGAGCTGCACTTTGAGCTTTGACGGGCATTTAAAAACAGAAAAGGGAGGCGGGCTGGCGATTTAGCTCGGTGGCACCATGCCTGACTCGCAGGTACAAACAAGGTCCTGGGTTCGATCCCTGGTACTGGAAAAAACAACAACAACAAACAAACAAACAGAAAAGAAAGGATGCTCTTCTTGCCACCATGGACACACAGAGAAGGAGCCTGCCTCAGACCACGGATCTGCCAGGCTGTCTATGTCCTCCAGCCGGCAAAGCCAGTGGATGCTGCCGTCGTGAAGTGGGTGCCGTAGCCTGGAAACTGAGGGGCCGAAGCCTCTTCCTCCGCACAGCCTTGATCTCCACGTGGTGGATTAAACACATTAGCAGTTAAAGCAGTTAATTGCTGTGCAGGGGGCCCCCTCATTGTTTGTCTCTGAATCACCCGCCCACACCAGGTGTCTCAGATAATAGACTGGGAACTTCAGCGAGGAGGATTTCCTGTCTGCAGATGTGCCGATTACAGCGCTGAGTGAAGACAGTCAGCCTGCCCAGGCTGCCCCGGGCTTGGATTTGCCAGCAAATTAACCAGTTGTGGCCTGAATCCACCACCGTCTGGAACCCGCACCAAGATAGGTATCTCAGCAGACATCCTCAGCATAGACATGACTAAGCTCTAGTTGAGCTTAGATTTGGTTTTACAGAAGGAACCCGAAGCTGAGACTGTCATGTGCCTCCTCTTGGCATTCGAGGCCTCTCTAAACGATTCTCGTCTGTCTTGGGAAGATGAGGATGGCTTTGGTGCATCGGTCCCAGAACTGCGTGAGTCCGAGAAGGGCAGCATGCAGAGGAGGTGCCTCACCGCGCCCGTGAGGCCCGCAGCCCTGATGTCCACTGTTCTTGCTGTTGCTGCTGCCATCCTGAGTGCTGGGGAGGGCAGTGGGGCCTGCCTGAGGAGCCTCCTTTGAGTGCTGGTGAGATCAGTTCTTATCCCCAGGTGCTGAGGTCATTTACTCTTCTCCAGGCTTTGTCTTAGACCACCTTGGTGCTACCCATCAGCCTGTGTGTTTAACCCACTTCTGAGCCTCTGAAACTGAGGGCAGCCAGCGAGCCCAGGTTCTTGGGCCCTGGAGCTTGGCTTCCCACTTCCCTGGCCGCCCTGTGGAGGCTGCCACCCGAGCCGTCCCAGGTACACTTTATCCCACGCGGCATGTCCCCTGGCCCGTGGGAGACCCAAGGAGGCCGGGATGGGGCCCTCGGTGCCCAGGAGCACACAGTAGCTGCTGCTCCTGTCTCTTCTAGGACTGCTTGCTTGCATTTACATGGCAGCCTTCCCCGTTCATCTGTGTTCAGCTGATGGCCCGTGATGGGTATCTGGACACTTGGACACTGGGCAGGAGCTGATGGGCATTTCGAAGCAGAGACACGGTCTGGTCTGCAGAGCCGCTCTTCTCCCCGGGCCAAGCCTACTAGGGACCTTAGGTCCCTGCCCCTGGGGACCCTCACGGCTGTAGGTGGGGGCTGGGGCTCGTTGAGAAGGGGCCATTCAAGCAAAAATGAACGTGGAATGGGAGAGGAAGGGGTCGGGGATTAAGCTCAGTGGTGATGTCTGCCTCGAAAGTGAAAGGTCCTAAGTTCGATCCCCGGTACCAAAAAAAAAAAATCGAAAGAAGGGACTGGGTACATAGCTCATAAAGAACCTTAAACATCTGGCTCCTGGCTACAAAGATCTGAGCCCCTCTGTGCCTGGTCCCAAGTATCATGCTGGGGTAGACAAGTAACAGGCCCAGCCTCGTGGGTGTGGCTGACACTAGGGGCCCCATACCCTTTGCGACGGTCATCTAGGCCGCCCCGACAGGCCCGTGTGAAGCTCTGCCTGCCTCGCAGGGTGGCCACGGAGAACATCACTCATGCAGGCCCTCACCTCCTGGCCTGGTGCTTCTGGTTGCTTCCCTTGTGCCTTTGCTGCTGGATCCATCTGATCACAGCTCCTCTCACTCACCCTGCCCACTCCTGCTGGGATTTAAATCTCACTTCGTTCCACGGATTGCCCTTTCCTGGTGGGAACATGTGTCCTAGGCGGGCGTGAAATCAGAGGGTACGCTTGTTTTCCCATCACGGACGGGAGAGGCTTGTGGTACTGCACACGGCCTGCTGTCTACATACCCGTGTCCAACAGAGAAGGTAGCATTGACTGAAGGCTGCCCTCTGGGTGGCTTTGGCCTGCAGCCTTCAGACCTCCCCTTGGGCAGGACTGGCTGGGCAGTCGTGGTATCCAGGCCATTCTGGGGCAGCACCAGTGGCTGGGGAGACTCCCAGTGTGATCTGAAGAAGCTTGGCCTTAGCTACTTTGAGGGGTCTTCAGAGTCCTGCGGTTGGGAAGGAGGGGCTGTCTTACCTCCCGACCAGTGGTAGGTTCGTGGCTGGCCTGGGGAGGGAGGCGGCCCTGGGGCCCAGAAGCTTGCTGGGCCGACCCTACCACCACCACCACCAGAGGAGGAAATGAGAGGCCCTCACTGCGTGCAGAAAATATGACAGAATGTCATGCCTCGTCCACGTGAGAAGGTTCTCATAGGGAAAGAAGATGAATGAAGATGTCTCTCAGTGAATGACAAGGCAGGAGCTGGCCATTCACAGAAGAGGAAACAGTCAGTAAACATTTGGCCAATAAAGTACTCGATTTTACTACTCATCAAAGAAGTGCAAATTAAAACAGCATGAGAGACAGAGACCACCCCCCCTTACCCATGCGTCAGCATTCCTGGGGCGAGTCTCTGCCACATGCTGGGAAGCCCTCACCCTTCCCCCAGTCATCCAAAAAAAAGAAAGAAAAACAGCATGAGAGACAGAGACCACCCCCCCTTACCCATGCATCAGCATTCCTGGGGCGAGTCTCTGCCACATGCTGGGAAGCCCTCACCCTTCCCCCAGTCATCCCTTCTCGGAGGAGGAACTACACCAACGCACAGAAGGGTCCCCCGGTACCCTCCTGAAGGTGTCTGGGACACCAAATGGCCCATCCCTGGAGGAAGCCGCCCAGAAGGCAGGCACTGCTGAGTGTTCCAGGGCTGAAGCTATGAGACGGAGCCGCAGAGAACACAAAGGCCCTTGCAAGGAGGCCTGGAGCTGATAACCTCAGCTGCAGCTGGGGCTGGGAAGTCAGCACAGTGCACAGAGTGACAGACAGAATCCCCTCTTCACACAATTGCCTGAGTAGTACGGCAAGAGGGCCCAGTTCAGCTGCAGCGTGCTTCCCACACCACGCCTGGGCCCAAGTGGCTGGAACCACCCTGTTTATGTGGCCAACTCCTGGATCTCCATCTCCCTCTGGCACTTCAGGCCCAAGCTGAGGCGGTCCCGGCACCAGCAGGGAGATGTGGCTTTGCATGAGGGAATGGGACTTCAGTGGGTCATGGGTGTGTCCAGGGTCACGGTACCCACTCCGAGTCCTCTGTGGTTACTGCTTGGGTCTTTTGCTCAGTTAGGCTCATGATGGGGGCTCAGAGCTCAGTGTATCCTGGACAGCAGGGCCTACCGTAGCTGTAGGACATGGTCCCATGATGTGGGGCACCAGGGCGGAGCTGGCCTCGTTGCCACAGGATCCAGACTGTGCTAGCACATCTTCCAAACTCTGAACGCACCCACAGCTGCCCTTCTTTGCTGGACTTCACTGCCTATCTTGGCCCATCCCCCCTTCCTGCCTCTGCCATTCAGAAGCAGTCACGAAGCACCTGCTGCCCATGCCACACTGTCCAGTCCCTCTGTCCATCCAGGCATCTGTCCTCACATCAGGGGCTTGACTCACATTTCCACATTTTCCCAAATGTACACACAGCACACCCCCAAAATTCCTAGCCCTGAGATGGCCATCGAGACTTAGTTTCATACCCGTAGCATCTCCCGTGACTGCTTCTAAATTTATACATAGTGATGTTTCCGTCAACAGCGGGCCAAATATCCAGCCATGGTCCTCATGAGACTGTAACTGAGTTGAAATATTCCCGTCCTACACTGATGTCTTTGTAGCTATTATAACACTGTAGCACAGCAGTTACTTACATGCCTGTGATGATGCTGGTAGAAACAAACCTATTTAGATGCACAAACACTTACCCTTGTGTTACATTGCCTCCGGTACTCAGGGTAGTGACACTGTAGAGCCAAGGTGGGTAGTTGTATACCGTGTTGCTTTGTGTAAGTAGTCTGGGATGTTTGCACAATGAGAAATCACCTAACAACATTGCTCAGATATATCCCTGTTGTTAAACATCACATGACCATATCTTTTTTTTTTTTTTTTT